GGGGGGGGCCAGGGGAAAAAACCTGCTGGGTTCCCAGAGCTGCGTGGCTGTGCCCAGTTCCAGCCAAGCCAGTCCGTCTCCTGTGAAAGGCTCCCCACCCAGATGCCTATAAGCGCTCGGCGGAGAGTCTGTCCGTCTGAGCTGTCTGCTCCGGGAAGTGACTCTGGGATGAGAGAGGCAAGTTGTGGGAGTTCCTCCATGTAGATGGGCGCAGGCCTCTGCCTGGTGAGGTCCTCATCCTTGGGCACTCTCGTCGGTCTCTGACAGCCCTGTATTCTTTGCAGCTAGTCCCTCAGCTTGTTCGTATCCTAAAGAACCTCATCATGTCTGGCTACTCCCCTGAGCATGACGTCTCTGGGATCAGTGATCCCTTTCTGCAGGTAAGGACTCGGTGACCAGGCCCAAATCCCACCGCCGGTTGGCACTGATGGGCAGGGAGAAAGGTTTCCCAACTCACCTGGCTGGGCAGGGGTGGCCCTCACCACTACAGAGGGGGGTCCCAGTGGTCAGCACCTTTGGCACCTGAGCTCTGTGGCTTGAAGGTGAACTTGGTCCTTACAGGTGCGCATCCTCCGGTTGCTGAGAATTCTTGGGCGGAATGATGATGACTCCAGTGAAGCCATGAATGACATCCTAGCCCAGGTGAGTGGATCTGGGGGCTGTGACCTGCCCAGCCAATGCAGTTGGAGGCAGACTTGCAAAACGAGACTGGCTCTCTTCCTTCCTCTGTGCTCCAGGTGGCCACCAATACCGAAACCAGTAAAAATGTGGGCAATGCCATTCTGTATGAAACCGTCTTAACTATTATGGACATCAAGTCTGAGAGCGGCCTGCGAGTACGTATTCTTCCCCTGCCGGATGCTCTACTGTGCTGGTGGGATCGGAGAGTGCTGTGCTTCTGGGGCAGAGATGTGGCAGAGCACTGGGAACCTGATCCAGGCAGCATTCTGGCTGGGGAGTTAGGGGAGGCCCCTGAAATATGCATATGCAGCCATCCACCCCTGGCACAGTGCAGAAGTCTGAAGCAATCCCCGGCAGAGGTTAGGCAGCCTCAGCTTGAGGACCTCAGCAGGGGCGTCTTAACCCTCCCTACCCCTACACACACACACCCTTGTAACTGGTTCCATTGTCAAACTTCGTGTTAAAGAGTTTCTCCAAGCGCCCCTCTGAAATTTGCCTTTCTGTAACAGAAGCCCATTAGCGGTAGTCTCTCACCCTCTGGAGCAGCAGTCTTTGTCCTCACCTACGTGGTGGCCTTCCAAGTGCGGTTTCTCCAGTGGTCATCAGACTCGCTCACTGGGGGCCAGCCTGTAACGGAGTCACCACAGGGATACCTTCAGCAGGGCGTGCGCGAGAGTCAGAGAGGGGCACTGGCGCCATGTCCGGCCAGGGCTGTGTCTGGCATGTGTGGGAAATGGTTGCCTTCCCCCTGAGAGAGCCTGAGGCCCCGGCATAGCATAGTTAGGGCAACCAGCCAGTATCTGGCCTTGGATTTGGTCCTAAATCCCACTTCCTCTTGTCGTCGTTTGGCTATGGAGAGATCATAAAGTCACATGAACGTGTATATGTGTACCTGTCTCTCTCTCTCTCTCTAGGTCTTGGCCATTAATATCCTTGGCCGCTTCTTACTCAATAATGACAAGAATATTAGGTGAGTCCAAGAATTTATGGGCACCCCTGTGGCTTGTGCAAGCCCAGGTCCCTTGACAGACACCCCAGTCCCCCAGGAACGACACAGACAGTCTCTGCGAGGTGGCAGTGATGCTGCCTTCCTTCTAGAAGGGGTGGCCAAACCAGTTGCAGACTCTGCATGAACCGAGACATGGCAAAGTATGCCATGCGGGAGCCTGGACCGCGTGCCTTCCGAAGCTGCTACACGGCTCCCAGAAGACTCCCAAGCCAGGCTCAGTTCTTCTAGGAAAGAAGCTGTAGTTTTGCGTGTGCTCTGCTTTAGATGCAGAGGGCTGGAACAAATCCCCCCCCCCGGGGGGGGCTGGCAGGAGTGATTTGGGCAAGCCCCACCCCCTGCTGCTCCCTCCCAAGCAGGGAAGCAAATCTCCCCACCTGGGTGGTGATGCAGAACGGCTGCTGTGCTCCTCTGTCGTAGGTATGTAGCTCTGACATCCTTGTTGAAGACTGTGCAGACTGACCACAATGCGGTCCAGCGGCACAGAAGCACCATAGTGGACTGCCTGAAGGATCTGGATGTCTCCATCAAGAGGTGAGTGGGGCTGTCTTGGCATTCAGAGCCTGGCGTGGCCCCCCTGGGATCAGCATGCCGGGGGGGGGGGACCACCTCTCCCCATGTGTGTGTGCGCGCGTGTCCCGGATAGGCTTGTGCTCTGCCCGTCAAGATCTGCTGGCTGTCCCCGGCCCCTAGTGGGGCGTCCACTTAGCCTCGACCATGGCCAGGGCTTTGGGACAGCACTGCAGCAAGGATTAAAAAACCAAGGAGATTCAGGCGAGGACGTTGCTGATTTGGGGAGGGGGAGATTGTGGTGGTGGGAGCGCTGCAGAGTCTATGGGGGCACCGTCCCGTGCTCCCCACCGCTGGCAACAGCCCCACTCAATGGGCTCTTTGGGTGCGTCACAGTCCCCAGAATGGGAGGGGTCTTGCTGGTGTTGTTGTAGGATGAAGCCGGAGATGGATGCACCTGCAGAGGGCCTGGCGCAGTGGTGACATTCATGCGGCTAGCAAGCCACATCCCTGGCCCCAGAGAGGCTCTGGCTGCTGAGGGCCGAGTCAGCAGACGGACGTGTCCTGAAAATGTCTTCCTCTCCCCTTTCCCAGGCGAGCAATGGAGCTAAGCTTCGCTCTCGTGAATGGGAACAACATCCGAGGAATGATGAAGGAACTGCTGTATTTTCTGGACTCCTGTGAGCCGGAGTTCAAGGCGGATTGTGCATCAGGGATATTCCTTGCGGCAGAGAAGTAAGATGTCCTGAGGTTGGGGTTATACCTTTGTATGCATGCGAGCCTCTCTGCTTGTGGCTGCTCAGCAGCAGGTCTTTGCCCCCCCCGTCTCACACACACACACACACACACACACACCTGCTCCAGGGCAGCTACAGTGTGGGAGGGACTGTTAACTGACCCCTGGGGTAGTTGTTGTTCTTGCTGCTGGGCCAGCACGCAGTAGGGGGACACCCCCCTCCCCGGTGCTTTGGCTTACCGCTGCCTTGGCTCCAGCAGCTTCTGTGGGTTTCATTATGGCGGGCAGTGCTGCTTCCAGTGTGTTTGCAGTTCTAAGTGTTTCAGTGAAGCTTCCTGGCTCAATGCCCTTCCCACCTGCTGGGCTTCCAACCTTGTGGTTGCGTCTAAGCCTCTCGTCCCTGTGGGGCAGACAGTTGGGAGGGGTCCTGTGCTCCACTCTCCCGTTAGAATTTCGGGACTCTGCTTCCTTTCCCCTCCCACACAGCAGTTGTCAACCTTACTACGGTCCTGTTTGCACCTTGGAAGTAAGCTGCTGTACCTTAAGACTGCTTGCTGTGGAAAACAGCAGTGTAAAAGTTATTAGAATAAATACATGCAGACACAGCCAGAGCATGTTTGCTTTGCATGATTCCACAAGGCAATACGGGGAAGCTGTGTCAAAGGGCTACAGGGGGGCCTCCTCACTCACCCAGGCCTGTCTGCTGGTTTTCCAGATACGCTCCTTCCAAGCGCTGGCACATAGACACCATCATGAGAGTTTTGACAACGGTAAGTGCTCCCATACGCAGAAGGACCGCTTTGCATGCAAGAGGCCCCTGTGAAGACCAGGGTCTTTCCTGGGCTCGGTGGACTGTCCCCTCTTATGCTTTTTCTGGTGCTTGGACTAGGGCTATGGAAGCCGGATGGTAGTATGTCTTGGCTCTCCAATGGTACATCTCAAGCAAAGAGTCCAGTGGAGGGAGGGAAGGGTTGGGTGGAACAAAGCTCGATGGAATTGCAGGCCTTTGCATTTCTGGAATCTCAGACTCCGTTCCCAAGATTTCTGGCAGCACTGTTGGAGGGGCACCATTCCGCCTTGAGGCTTGAGTAGCTGCCAACACATCAGCCCAGCAGTCTGGCTTGGACCAGGGAGCTTCCGCCGTCTGTGTGGCCCTTTGACAGCTCTGGCTGGCCTAGTAAGTGGGGGAGCCCCACTGCCTCTGGCACAGTCATGGAGGGAGTGTCTGGACGACTCCCCCCTCGGGGGCCGCAGGCCACCAGCCACCCAGCCATTTGTTTGTAAGACACAGTGAACTCGCCCCTGAGAAGCCACGATCCATGTCCCGTCTAGAGGCCTAACCGTCCCTGACAACACCCCACTTGGTCGTCAGCCACGATTTATTTCAGGTTTGGCAGCGGCTTGTCCCTTCGGGCGGAGGCATTAATGGCAGACTGAGCTCCCACCACCCCCACCTCTCCTGCACTTAGTAACAATGGTTTCTGGGTGAGTGACAAAGAAGCCTGCAAGAGAAAGTTCTGATAGGATTTGACTCCGCCAGCCACTTGAACCAGCGCATACACACGAAAGCTTATGCCAAGAATTAAGCATTGTTGGTCTTCAAGGTGCCCGACTGGACTCCAACTTTGCTCTGCCGCTTCAGACCAACACGGTGACCCACCTGCTTCTACTATGCAACTATGCGAGGGATGCGCAAGTATCGTCTTATGCCAGAGACTCTCTGACCATCACACGTCCTTCCAGGTGCCGTGCCCAGCCCAGAGCCCACAGCCAAGCCCTACAATACAACTCTGCACTTGCTCCATTTCCTCTCTCTCGTGGAAGCACTCTTGGGGTTACAGTAGCTACGCAAAGAAGTTAATAAAAAGACTGAAGAGGCCAGACCAGTGTCCGGAAATGGCCACTCACAAGGACAGGCCAACAGGAAACCGTGGAGTGTACAACTCCCAGCTCCAGCCACGCCAGCCCATCACCACCACTTCTGGATAGCAACCCTTCTCTCTCTCTCTCTCCCCCCCCCCCCTTGAGTGGTCAGCCTTTCCTGGCTTACAGACAGCTCCCCAATCTAAAGCGGCTTCTTAGCGACGACAGTGGGCCACCATGAAGTAGGCCTTGGAAGAACTCCAATGCTAACTCAGTGTCTGTAGCCACTCAGGCAGCACTGTTACAAGAGTCAGTCCCATCAGCCACATTATCTGAAGCTCATCAACAAGGCCGATACCGTTTCCCAAGCACCTGAGATTTCTCAGCCAACACAACTGGTGTTAGGCAGGTTAGCAGAGCTAGAGGGACTGCATTATCATCATTTACTGCTGTTGAAAACAGTCACTGTACCTTTCCTGATTAGGTTTGAATTTTACGCTGCATTATACTTCAGGCGTGCTAAGAAGGCTCACAGGTTTCTCTGGTGCTTGCAACCAGGGTCATCTAGCAGGGTAATTCAGCATAGAGTTAGTGGCACAAGCAAAGAAGTGAAATGTGTGTGTTTGCTGGCTGAGGTTCCCGTGGAGTGTCTGTGCACAGTCGTTCCTGTATCGTTGAAGGAAATGGCTTCATTGTTTTTCTGGAATCCCTCAGCGGGGTCTAGGGAAGGGAGCCTTTTGGTCTCCTCCTGGGCCGTCACACTTGTCCAGGTTCGCCACAGACCCTCATTGTCAGTCACCAGTATTGCCCTTTGCTTCACAGCAGGGGTGGGAAATGGTCAGTAAAATCAGTAAAAGTCAGTTTTTTCATCTTGGTCAGTGATTTGTCAGTTTTTAAAAAACTTTGTCAGTAAAGTCAGTATTTCTTTGATTTTTGTGAATGCAGTTTGTGTGTGTTTTTTCCCCCCATTACTGTATTTTGGGGAAAACATGATGACTTCCCAGTGAGAAGACAGATTGTTTTTAGTTCAGTTATGAAGTACTTTAAGGACTTTGTTCCTAAGAGTAAAAGTGATTTGGTGAAATCTTCCACAACATATAGAAACATAATCAGCCTCTTAAAACATGAGACAATGAAAGCAGAGGTGGTTTTTTTTTTTTTGAACAAGTGCCCGCTTATTTACAACATTCACTGGAGTGTTCCAGAAAGAAGAGCCTTTGGTGCATGTGATGCACAGTGAAATAAAAACATTCACAAGAACCATAATGAATCATGTTTGTAAGAGTTCAGCACCATTGTCTCTTGAAGCCTTCAGTGATGAGCACTACATACCTATGAGAGAAGTAATCAGTGAAAGTAGAATCCGTGACGAACTGAAAAACTTTCTGAAAAGGAACAGCTACTCTTTTTAACGAGAGCAAAAAAACATTTCATAGCAGCCTGCAAACACCTTTTACTCCAGTCATCTTTGGACAAGCCCATCCTCAGATATCTTCAATGTTTAGCTCCAGCACAGAGAATCAAGGAAGGAACCCACAAGAATATAATGAAAGTAGCAGCAGCACTCCCGATGGGTATTCCACTGAACATGATTGCAGATGAATGGAAACTTCTTAGACTTGAAGATGAAACTGCCAGTGAAACTTGCCGCATAGATACATACTGGGATCAGTTCTTTGTCCTATCTTCATTTTAAGAAGTTTAATAAAAAGGTGTGTTGTCCTTTTATCTGGATCTCATCTGACTATGGCGCTGGCTGTGGGGATGGTGGAGGCCAGATAATAATCATTTTTAATGAAGTCCTAGTTTTACTTTTAAAACACTAGCTTATCAATAGGCTGACATTAAATTGTTCAGTAATTTGTCAGTATTTGGTCAGTTTTTTTGAAATTTTGGTCAGGAAAATCAGTATTTTTGACCCTCTGTCTACATTCCACCCCTGCACAGCTGTGTGAGGCCGGACGTGCCGCTGCGGGTGTGTCTCTCGTGCCGTCTATCAGGGCAGCCTCAGAACCTTGAGACTCTAGTTCTAGAGACGAGGGGGCAGCAGGGCTGGGAGGAGGTGGGCCTCTTATGGGCTCGGCTACTTGTGCTGGTTCTGCCCTTTTTGGAGCAGCCGGATCCTGCTGGGCTTTTGTCCTCAAGGACGGACTGCTGCAACGTGCTTCCCCTGGGGGGCTGCCATGAACGATGGCTGGGAGGCTTCAACACTGGAGAGGGGAGGGGGGGAGGCTTCAGCCTCCGCACAGGTGTCGGGGGCAACATGGGGTGGACTCTAGTTCCCCGGCATCCGCCCTGCGTGCCTCCTCTTCTGGGCCCAGTCCAAGGTCTGCCGTACCCAAGTCCACCTTGAAGGCCCTCCCTCCCTTCCCTCCCTCCCTCTGGGTTAAGAACTTCCAATCAGGCCCTTCTTAAGTGGGAGGGAATGGCTCAGGTGTCAGCTGCGGTGGACTAGCACCCACCACGAGGGCCATCCTGAAGGGTGCGCTGGGAGCACCTGTCTGGGGCGGTGTGTTGTGTGGAGGCTGCTTTGTGGCTTCTGCGTTGGTGGCTTGGTCCGTGTGGGTTCATTCATCCCGAGCCTAAAGCAGCCTCCAAGGCAGGGTAGAAATTGACTGTTTCAGTTCTGCCCTGAACCACAAACTGGTTCTCCAGCAGTCTGTAAGGAAAAAAGAGAAAAATACAAAGCCGGTATATAATAATAATCACCAAAAGTCTAAACATTGTAAAACAAAGGGTTTAACGAAGTATGCAGCTTTAAAACCAGAAGTTGGTTGCAACTTTAAAAGGTGCTATCAGGCCATAGAGGCAAGATAATGGATTCAAGGACCCGTGGCGGCAGCATGAGGCTAAAGAACGGAGAGAGCGGAACATGGGGGCAGTGGGGAGGGCAAGAACCCTCGTGTGTCCACCAGTGGGCCCAGAAGGAGGACCGGGCATGTCTGGCATTGGCCCCCAGGGCTTGTGGGGGGGGGCATCCACAAGTCGGGGCGCTGGAGCTGGCTGAGGCAACGGCGGTGGCTTCCCACTCCGAATCAGCTTTTAGAACTTCCCCCTGGGCTTTTCGTGACAGCGTGTCAACCCCTCTTGACTATGTGGTCTCCTTCTTCCAGGCAGGGAGTTACGTACGTGATGATGCCGTGCCTAACCTCATCCAGCTGATCACCAATAGTGTGGAGATGCATGCTTACACTGTGCAGAAACTCTACAAAGCCATTCTGGGTGATTACTCACAAGTAAGTGCTCTGTGTAATGCTGCCTGCATTGCCAAAGAGAGCGTGGTGTTTGTGGCCGCAAGATGGTATGGACTTCGAGTTGTTTGTTGATATGGTCACGTGAGATCTGTATTCTTATCTCTGCCAGCAACCTCTAGTGCAGGTGGCTTCCTGGTGCATGGGAGAATATGGAGACCTCTTGGTGTCTGGTCAATGCGAAGAAGAGGAGCCAATCCAGGTATTCCTGCAGAAGAAAGAATGGGGCCAGGCCCGTAGCCATTGGGGGGTGCATTTGGGGGCAGTGCCCCCACAGATGAGCACTGCCCCCACAGATGAGCACTGCCCCCTTGGACAAAAGATTCAAACAAATTTTAAAAGATATTTTAAAATGTAAGACGTACATGGTGTTTCCAAAATGACCCCGGGCACAGTCAGGGAAGCTTCAGTCTCATTTTATTTTTTCTGGGCCAAAAAATAAATAGGTTTTTAAAAATGCACAAATAACATAAAATAGCAAAATGCACAAGAGAGAGAGTCAGAGATTCCACCCTCTCCCTAGCTTACACAGAAAAGCAGCCCAGAATAGAGTCTCTCCAGTTGAGAGGAGGACCAGAGAGGTCTCAGTGGAGCTGGAGCTGCCGCTTCTGCAAGAGGAACAGCAGGCGCAGCTGGGGGCACCCCCTGGATTTTGCACCTGAGGAAAGCTGCCTGCTGGGCCCCCGGCCCCCGACCTTTCTTCTTCCAGGTCCTTTCCTACCTTTGCCTTTGTTTGCCCAGGTCACGGAGGATGAAGTCCTTGACGTTTTGGAAAGTGTCCTCATCTCCAACATGACGGCATCTGTCACGCGAGGCTATGCCCTCACGGCTATCATGAAACTGTCCACGCGGTTTGCTTGCACAGTCAAGTGAGTTCCTCCTTTTGGCAGGGCTGTTCTGGGTGCGTGTCCGGGCCTTGATCCGGTACTCCTACAGGTTGCCTTCTGAGCCACGCAATCCTGTGTCCTTTCTCGAGGATCCTCCTCTGTCTGTCCCCGTGTGCGGGCGAGGCCCAGCAGCACTGCCACGAGTGGGCACAAGAGGGCAACGAAGAGGGGGGAGGGCGGCAGAGTAAGGAACATCAGCTGTCCGAGAGCCGCAAAACTGGGACAAATACCACACACACGTTTTTATTGGGAAATATGCAGATTTGCTTTTTATTAACATTAAATAAGACTGCCAGAAATAAAAACAAAGAGTAAAAACAGATATTGATAATGATATTGAAAGAGATAAAAGCTCTCTCCAAGCTGGCCGG